GTGGTCTGCCTGAAGATGACATCAGTTCTCCCAAAAATCTTACAGGCGAAAATGACGGGCATGTCCCTAACGTAAGCCTGCCAAGCGTAGGCAAGGCTAAGCCTGTGCTGAACCGTAACACTACAGCACATCCCACCGGTGTATTGGAAACATCTCCTGATGACTAGTATGGGAGATGGATGTTTTCAATGCACACTGAGATGTGCATGTGGGGTGCCTGTGTGGCGCTGATGTGATCTTGGAATTGAGGGCAGTGTGAATCCTTTGTAGGCCGGTGATAGAATATCTATATTTTGCACCTCTTAGTTGTGTATTAGAAACATCTCCCAATGAATGATAATATACAACTAGGATTATAGGAAATATGTTCCCAATATGTGGCTGCAATGTGATGTATGGCTCATGTGAATAGTGCCCTGTGAGGAGAGGATCTTCTACTTGCCCAATGACTCATTCATTCAGCTATGATAATTTGACATTTAATGGGTAAAGAAATTAAGGGTTTTTATTGTTCAGTCTAATCTTAGCTGTAGGTACAGTTGGGGTAGGTGCAAGTTTGGAATTGATGTCGAAAAGTGGATATTATAGATGAGGGTGTTTTAAATTTTAAATTGTTGTAGGTTTGTAATGAAATTTAAAATAGAGGTACAATGGGGTAGTGCTGTCCATATAGCTGTTGCACCCATCGGCTGGGTTGACACAATTTTCTTTTTATGAAGGAAATTTTGAAAAAACAACATAACAAATTAAAAAAGAAAATTCTTAAAATTTTATCCCATATAAAATTTCATATGAAATTTAATGTATACAAAAAATAAGGAAATGAAATTGAAAAATTATAATAAAAATTTTATAATGCACCTATACCTTTACCGGAAAAGCATATTTTTCAAGTTATGTTTTAAGTCTTTGCACTTTTTTTCTAGCTACCTTTTTATCTTTTTCGAGTATGATACCCAAAACCTAAAGACATGATATCGCAGAGACACACGTACGGCATAGACAAGTAGACAGGAATGAACATCAAATCCAATTGGGATTCCCCAAGGGCCTACGTTGCCTTTGTTTAATTTAGGGTATTTTGTTGGTGTCATAAACAAGAAGATATGGAAGCCATGCGCCCCATGCCGGAAGCCAGGTAGGCCGTTGAAGTTGAACCATACCAACCTTCTAATTCAACCATATATGGATGCCAATTGCCAAACTTCAGGCTTCAGCAGCTGATCAGGATCATAAAAAGGTTGGCACAACTTTCAAAGTATTGCCAGCAGTAATGCTTGGACAACCAACCAGAAGATAACTTCAGAATTCTAAACTTTCTGATCAAAAACAAACTAGATATCGCATGGACTTACCTTGATCGATCTTGTATATCAATGGCAAGCTAGTACACTTTTCTTTATTTTATGTGTAATGAATGACGACATCACTGCTCAAAGAAGATGATGAATACGTATCATACATGCATGCTTGGCTTACTTTTCAGAAGAAATTAAAGTTCAAAAATTAATGTTGTTTTTTATTTCATGTGTGCAAGGATTTCTGTACAAGATATGCTAGATGTTTATCATGGGTATAGCATAAAATATATATTTCGTTCGTCTGGTATTTCTCTTCTGAGGTCTGAACAAACTAACGTAAAATGGATTGAATGAACTTTTTTAAGCAGAATATTAGAACTATTTACATTTTACATTAATTAAAATATGTTAGATATATTATAGTGAATATCCGGCCTGTTTTAATTTGATATTTTTCTTGTTTTCATGGTTTTGGAAGGTTGAATTCTGACTTGGATCACAGCGGAACTGCTTGACTGGGAACTTGACTGGGAAGTGGGAACCCACGTCTTATTAATTTTTCTTTAATTTTTGCCAAGGACTAAGGCCGAGGTCGTCCGGTTGATTGGAAATTCTCTTTTCGTTGAACAAATCTACATGAAATGATGATATGAATAGTGATTTATCCGGTCTGTTTCTGTAACTGTAATCAAGAGTTTAAGATTCGCCTATTTTGCAGGAGTTGACTGGGGGTCTCGTTATCGTAGAATGCGCGCACCCATTGAAAGGAATAAAATCACTTATTGAGCCCGTATTCCCATGCATTCAATCCGGATATTATTACCTACTCTTCTTCTTCTTCTTCTTCTTCTTCTCTCTCGTTCTCAATTCTCATCATCAAAGGAACAATCCCGATTTCCATCCTTGTAAGTTGTTACACGTTTTCAGGAAGTTCATATCACTTTCCAACGAAAACACTATGCAGCTATTATTGAAACTTTCCAGAACAGCAAATTTGTCTAAATGTATACTAACCATTAACTACCCGATCGAATTTAATTTGCTTTAATTAAGAAAGCAAACTAACATCACCCACCTCATTCGGAATCTTATTCCGATAAGCTTAAATTTATAGCGAATAGGAAACAAATCTTTCTTTCTCCTCGTAAACGTCTTCTTTCCCTATTTAAAGCAGGGAACAGGGAAGAAGAAGAAGAAGAAGAAGCAACCATCAACAGACAGATCTGCAGGTCAGTCCCACTCTCTGCTCTTCTTTCTTTTTCTTTTCTTATTTTTTGTTCTGTAAATGCTTGGAAAACATCACTCGCTATTTCCATGAATATGTTGATCTGGGCATGTACGACTCGTTTAATGTCATAGGAGTATCCAATACGATGATCAGTGATGTCATGTAATCAAGATTTTCAGTGACTATCCCATTATAAAAAAAAAAAAAAACTTTTCGCATTAGAAAGAAAATCTTCTTTGTTTCTTCCATTTCTGTCTTTGAAAAAAGTAGGAACTCGTTAGACAGTTCCATAATTACAACAAAAATCATGCAGTTATATAAGAATCCTTAGAAGGAGAATCTCATAAAGAAGGTTTTTTTTCTTTTTTTGTTCAAGAAACCTTGGCAGTTCTTTGTTAACTATAAATAGCTCGAATTTAATTAAACCTTGAGAAATAAAAAGTTTCTATTTTTTTTCATTTTCTTATTTTCTTTTATTTATAATTTTTTACTTATACTTTAGTTGGATTATAATACTTAATCAATTAATTTATTAAAAATCCTTCTTCTTCTTCTTCTTCTTCTTCTTCTTCTCTTGATAATTGGTGGAAAAAAGATTTTAGATCGATGAAAACAGAAACTTCTTTGCTCGATGGGTATTATTTGAGATATTCTTCAAGTTGTCTCTAAAAAGCAACTTTTAAAGAAAAACACCTCTTAATAGAAATATGTTTGATCTTGATATTTCATTTTTTCTTTATAACTAATAAGATGATTACACCCAGAAGACGGTTTTCGTTTTTTTTTTTTTTTTCACTCTTCTCTCTCTTACAACAATAAACACTAATTCTTTCTAATGCCAGCCTGACGGTGCTATTTGTAGATTAGCACTCTGAAAAAATGAGATACCCTCTGTTAGCATTTTTCTTTTTTTAGATGCTTAACTCAAAACCTTTAAGTGGTAAAATGAGTTACGGTTATGACCAGTTTTTAATATGATCAAGTGATCAAAGAACAAACAGTTTGGACTAATTAGTAAATGGGGTTTGAGATAACTGCATGCCTGCATCAAATCAACCCTTCACTCTTACAGGTTTTCTTGATTTCAATATGTAAATCTTCCCATGTTTATTTTGGCAGGATATATAGATTAAGGTAGTTGTCACCATTCGCATTCAATGGAGGGTGGTGTTCACAAACCCGACAAAACAGAATTCACAGAGTTCTGGACGTCTATCCAGAAACAACCTTATGTTTTACGTCTTGCTGCGTCAGCTGGAATCGGAGGACTCCTCTTTGGATATGACACAGGTATCTCCGTATCAATCAACCTGCTTTGTCTGAACGCATCATTGATGCTTTGGTGTTATGGGGGAGGACTAGACTCGTGTTATGCAACACCCTGTTACTTGAAGGCATGTGAAGTCGGGCCTATATTATCGTTTCCTTTTTCATTGTTTTAAACCAATCCGTTTAATTATCTGTAGATGATGAAGGAATGCCATAAAAAGGTGTCAGATTTTGTTAAGTTTTTGTTGTTGGCTTGTAGGAGTCATATCTGGTGCACTTCTTTACATTCGTGATGATTTTAAATCTGTTGATAGGAGCACAGTGCTACAGGTGAGCTTCTTTCTATTTATCCTCCAAATGTCAAATATGCATTGATAGAGTTGTCCCCTTTTTATGGCATCCTTATTTCTTGTGATATTATTGGGCAGGAAACCATTGTGAGTATGGCTGTAGCAGGAGCCATAGTTGGTGCTGCAATTGGTGGATGGATCAATGATGCGTTTGGCAGGAGGATATCAATTTTGGTTGCTGATGTTTTGTTCTTTTTGGGTTCAATCATAATGGGCTTGGCTCCACAACCTGGGGTGATAATTCTTGGAAGGATATTTGTGGGGTTGGGAGTTGGAATGGCATCCATGACTGCACCTCTCTATATTTCAGAAGCTTCACCAGCTAGAATTAGAGGTGCCCTCGTTAGCCTGAATGGACTACTCATTACGGGAGGTCAATTTTTGTCATATCTAATCAATCTTGCCTTCACACAGGTGCACTTTTTGCTTCAGTGGTGTTGTTCTTTTTTGTTTATATATCTTCTCCATCTATATTGATGATGGAATCTTGGATAATGGTTATCTAATGGAATTCCCTGCAGGTGCGCGGTACCTGGCGGTGGATGCTTGGAGTAGCTGGATTTCCAGCTGCCATTCAGTTTGTTCTGATGTTGTCACTTCCAGAGTCCCCTAGGTGGCTTTACAGAGAGGTTATTACTGAATGTTTCTCTATGCACATAGATGCTTATTTTTCATGCCCATTTCTCTTTCTCAAGTTTGGAAGGCCGGATTTCCAGTTGCCTTTCAAATTCTGTTAATGCAGTTACTTCTTCAGTTGGTTGGGCCTAGCTGATCAACTAGCTGGGGGTCCCAAGTCCCAACTCCCAAGTATTGGTTAATTAATGGAGAAATCCCTTACTTGATTGACTTGAATGGTGTAGTGCAAACCTCTAACTGGATGAAAATGCTTTCATGAGACCAACACACTTTTGCATTTGTTCAAATTGTATTGATTTGTTAATTTGTTTGAATGTGTTGAAAACTATTAACATGATTTTTATCCATCAGTTTGCTAACATGGGTTCTAAATATCCATTGATCAGAATAAGAAAGAAGAAGCCAGGTCTGTTTTGGAGAAAATATATCCGCCTGAGGAGGTTGTAAAAGAAATGGAGGCCCTAAGGTTATCAGTTGAAACAGAAATAGCAGAAGAAGGTGAGATAGGTGGAGGTAGCATTTTCAATAAAATAGGAAAGGCATGGAGTAACAAGGTTGTCCGCAGAGGGCTTTATGCCGGTATTTTGTGTCAAGTTGCTCAGCAGTTTGTTGGGATCAATACAGTCATGTATTACAGCCCCACCATAGTTCAGTTGGCTGGATATGCTTCAAACAGTCTGGCCCTTGCACTCTCTCTAATCACTTCTGGTCTCAATGCTATTGGTTCCATTATTAGTATGTTCTCTGTTGATAGATTTGGGAGGAGGAGGCTGCTCCTCATCAGTATGATTGGAATAATACTTTGTCTTTTTCTATTATTCGCGGTGTTTGATGAAGCTGCTCGTCTTGCACCTGAGATTAGCAAACCAGAATCCTTGCACTTTGGTGGGAACACTACCTGTCCAAGTTATATGACAGCACAGGATGCATCATCTTGGACCTGCATGACATGCTTGAAAGCATCGTCTGAGTGTGGATTTTGCGCCAATGGAGCCAACAAGGTAACCATCTTTTCTATTTAAAACTCCAGATCGAATACTGTTTCAAGTTTCTGTGGTGCTTTGAAAATTTTAGTTTTGGAGGACCAGTAAGTAGAGTGTAAATAATTCTGTCTTTGTTTTCTTTTGCTTTTGGGTGCTTGGAATATTCTACCAAAATTCTAGTGAGTTTATGTATTTTGGGTTTAGCAACAGAAAGTATAGAAACCTCAAACCTGAAACCACAGCTTTGAGACTTGACCAACTATTCAACATGTTCAATTTCTTTCTCATGATTGGCCACTGGAAACAGGAAGGGTATTTTCCCTTCAAATTGTTTTTAATTAATTTGTGTTTCAATTTGATTCAGTTAATTGATTATATACTAAATTAAGATGAATCTTTTTTTCTTTGTGTGTGTGTGTTTCTCTTTATTCAGCAATTTCCTGGTGCATGCCTGGCCTCAAATCCAACTACGAAAAGTGCATGCCATGGGGAGCATCGTGAATGGTTTGCTAGAGGCTGTCCAAGCAGCTTTGGGATGTTGGCCTTGTTTGGCTTAGGATTATACATTATCTGCTACTCACCTGGGATGGGAACAGCTCCCTGGATTGTGAATTCAGAGATATATCCTTTGAGATATAGAGGACTTTGTGGGGGGATGGCAGCAGTAGCTAACTGGGTTTCAAACCTCATAGTGAGCATGACGTTCCTATCTTTAACTGAGGTTCTTGGTTCATCTGCAACATTTCTGCTTTTTGCTTTGGTCTCTTGTGTCGCATTATTGCTCATCTACTTTGTTGTACCAGAGACCAAAGGGTTGCAATTCGAGGAGGTTGAGAAGATGCTAGAGAGAGGCTTCAGGCCTTGGCCACTAAGTAACATTTCAATTGAATCTCAAACTGCCAAGTGATAATCTCATTCACTAATTCTCTTTTATATGTAATGGGGGCTAATATTTTGTCTTTCTTGTTATTCACTTGTAGTTTATCTCTTGTGGGCAAAATGTTTGTTATTCAGGTGTAGTCTAACTGTTGTGAGCAATCTATTTGATTTGCGGCATATCGGCATAGTTCATGTTACTCAGAATGCTCTTAACTAAAATATTCTAATCAAAGAACAATGCATCGAATTGAGTATAGCTCAAATACGCATACGAATATCAATACGCTTTGAAAAACACATACAAATCACATAAATACATTAATAATACTAAATCTAAAGTTGAATTATCTATGATTAAGGTATAAACACATGAGAAGTGCACACTTTATGAAGAGAAATATTACAATCAACAATACTGGCACTCTATAATATATACACACTCTATTTTAGTTTTTACTTAGTATTTTATATAAATAATCTTCATTTTTGACATGTTATTGTAAAATAAAACATATAAATCATTTTTAAGGTAGATAAATTAAATTATTTTATAATTTTCAGTTTTTATAATTATAATTTTCTATTATCTATTAATTTTGTGTGAAAACTTATTTATTTAATATGTTTATATAATAACTCTACTTTTCAAATAATAAATATGTTTTCATTTCTAACGTATAATTATGTGTAAAATAAAGCATATAAATCGATTAAGGTAGATAAAAATTGTCAATATACAGTTTCATCAAACTAGGCAACGATACACTTCTATATCGATGCATATTGGACAGTATCTATTGATATGATGCGATATGACCTGATACAAAGGCGTATTGTATTGATACACATGATTCATAGGATATGTACCCAGTCGTGGTTTATCTTGTATCTACGAATACGATACACCCTATATTGAAAGTATCATATCGATACTTTTAAATCTTGATTTTAATTAAGTTTTTCTTCTTGATACTGAGGAACAATATTGAGGATTATACAACTTTCATTATATATGTCAAATCCAATGGACAGGAGGCTGAATCTGTTAATGGATGCTGGTTGTGAGAGAATGAAGAGATAGCTAGGAAAAAAGTTGTTCATTTGGCTCAGCTTAGGAGTACACATGCAAATATGTAGAGCGCAAAACTTTGTATTTTGTATTAATTTATATATATTTATACTGTATATATTTATATTTGTACTCTTTCCAAACTGAACCTTCGGGAAGAATGAAATGGGAAGTGAAATCAGGGAGAAAAGTTGTTCATTTGGGAAAGAATGAAATGGGAAGTGAAATCGAGGAGGAAAGTTGTTCATTTGGGAAAGAATGAAATGGGAAATGAAATTGCGTGGCCCTCACTCTGTATGAGAGAAAGAGAGGGACAATGGAACTAGGATGCAAGGTTTGCACATCCAATAAGTGAAAGGGTGTGACCCTCAGTCAGAGAAAGAGAGGAAAATGAAGGTAGGATGCAAATTTTTCTTCAGATTTTAGAATTAATATAAGGTTTGCACATCCAATAAGTATAAATAAAACAAAATTTGCACCAGGTAGAATCCTAAGTTTACACTCAATTAAGATTTACACTGCAAACAACAGAGCCCAAAAACATTATTATTGCACAGTTTGAAATTCCTCAAAGGGACAGACACTTGAGCGGATCGAAGAATAGGGTGGGGATCTGTCAATTTTGTCATCGGTTAGCTCAGTGATACGCTGCATCAACAATTGGATCACCTAAAATTTGAACTTCTTTAGTTACAGTCAGAAACTCAAATTTTAACAAGTGGTTGGCATTGAACGAATTTCTTGCTAGTGTAAAGACAGAAGGCCTAAGGCAAAAACCTATATACAAGTATATAAGCCCACATAACAGTAATAGCTAACAAGTCTTCTCATAGTTTAATAGCGTTCCTACTCCCAACTCCCAAGCATCTCAAACGCTTTTACCCGGTTGATAGAGTCGATCATCGAGTTCTGTCTGATCGGACCCACTTGACAGAAAGCCCAAGCCCATCCACCATCCCTAGTCCCAAAAAAGTGTATAGAGTGATTGACAAGCCATGCACCATTGCCAGGCTTTTTGGGCAGTTTGCACTTCGCGAAATCAGTAGCAATGGCACAGCCCCTTTAGGGATGCTAGCGGATAGGATTGGATTGGATTCGAATCAATGTATATTAACTCGATTCATATTATTTATGGTGGATTCAAAGACTCAATCAAATATGATAGAATTCTATTTAAATTTAAATCTTATCGATAAATTGGATTTGATTCCTTTTTTTTTAAATTATTAAAATAAAAATAAAATATACTAATTTAAATAAAGTAAAAAAATATAAATATTTTTTAATTATTTTCATCATATATATATGTGTGTTTTTTTATAAAAAATAAATAATATAATAAATTTATAAAAATATATTTATAAATAAATAAATAACATATTACATATATAAATATGTAATATATATCGGATCGAATCTTGGATTGAATCATAATCCATTTGCACCTCTACGAATTGCCCATGCTTTGAATACAATACAGTTGTCTATCTGATCGTTACTACCTCACATATCCAACAATGATTCCCTTTGATCCAATCCACCCAATAAAGCAGATTAATGCCGTGTTTGGTAATTGTTCCATTGCTGTTTAGTGTTTATCAATCCAAAATATTATAGGCAGAAATAAATAAATAAATAATTATATATATATATATATGATCAATTTGTATTCATCAATTCAAAACATTTCAAACAGAACAATGGTACCAAATACAAACTAAGTATTGCCTTGAAAACACAGATAAGTCCGGCTTAGAATCTAGATGAGCTCATTATGGACAAGGCCTACAAGAGCTAGACCTATCAATAGGTTAATAGCTTAGGCACCTTCAAACCACACATAATTTGAATAATTGCCTTGGGGTATTTCTTGATCAATTGGATCAGTTGATCATGAAGTAGCATCAGGGACCCGTTACAACAAATTATGAACTTAAAATATATTTGTTTTTTGTGTTGATATGGACCCAAATACATATTTCAGATGTCAAGAATTAAGGTGCAAGCCATATCAGATTATCTAAATTTGAATTCAATTCGTTTCTAATTTGATCAAATATTATCAGATTTCATTAAATTCAGTATAGATGCTCATGTATGCATCTGTTAGTAAACGAGGAGCTTGTTGGGTGGGTGTTGCTCTGTGGAGTAAACTACTCTATCTTCATAGGAAGATGGTCTGCTTAGGTAGGGTGAGGTAATGGCGACTTCATCTATGGGAGGGAGTGCTGGGGCTATAAGAGATAAGGGCAAAGGGGTGGCTAAATGTAATGAGAAGGAGGAGGTTGTAGTTCTAAGAAACACAGTGGTGGAACTGAAGGAGCTGGTGGATAGAACGCCGGTATGCCAGATTCTCTTTCATTAAGAAGATTAACCATGTTGGAGTAAAGCAGACATTATCACAATTTTGGAATACGACTAGGGGGCTTAGTTGTAGGACACTTGATGGGGAAATGCTAATTTTCTGGTGAAGTTCCATGGTAAGGTGGACAAGTAGAATATTCTAGACCGCAAGTCATGATGTTTCTTGGAAAATCTTGTCTTACACAGTCATGGGATTCAACTTTAATTTATGTTAAAGTTTTCATTATTTTTTAAAATTAAAGAAAAACATGGTTTGGTCCAGTTTGCATGCTGATTTGGCCCAAGGCTTGGCCCGTGACACAATACAGGCTCATATGGTCTCAGATCGTGGGCCATGCCGGGTCGATCCTCCAAAATATCTTAGGGAAGGGAAACACGGCTCGCACTTTATACGGGCCGCATTCAGGTGATGTCTTACTAACATAATATGACCACGGGCCGGATGCAGGTGATGTCTTACTGGCATAATATGACCCAATTTACACCTCTAAATAGGATGAGATAAAAGATCAAAAGAGAAACAATTTCTTATTGGGCATCTTTCAGTGCTAGTGATCCTTGATGCAAGGTTGTTATTGAAAATGGGGAGACGAATCACATCCCAAGCTTAGGGAAATTAAGTAGGTGGATTTCAGGTATGAAAGACTTCCAAACTTTTGTTATTGGTGTGGACGCTTGGGACATACTGAGGCATGTGCCACTCAAATCTAGAGAAGCAAGAGTAGGAAGGTAGTGGGATATTTAAAAATCTGTCTGAAGCTTGTAGAGAGAAGAAGAACCCATCTTAGTTTGGGTCATGGCTCCATATGGAATTGGGGAGGAGGTCGGATGGGAGGCAGAAGGATAGGGCTGTGGGAGAGGAGTTTGAGCTCAGTTTGGTAGGGATTGGATGGAAGTTGATGAAGGAGGTAGGCAGTGGATCACATGAGAATGTCAATTTATTTATTCGAGTTCAGTTCACCAATAAAATATGAGGCTTGAGTTCGATTCAAGTTAGACAGTTGAGTTCAAATTTAACTCAAATCAAAAGTTTGTAAGTTTAAATTCGGCTTGACTTGAGTTCAACTATAAGTTAAATGTTTTATAAAAATAATATATATATATATATATATTTATATATATATATATATAATTAATTTTTATTTGATATATAAAAATTAAGATATATAAAAACTAGTTATTATTATTATATATAAAAAATAAAAATATAATATATATAAATTTGTATCTTTATTTATATATTATTTTATATATATGTATGTATTAATTATACAATCTCGAGAGCCATACCTTAGGCAGGTGAAACAATGGCGGACCCTACTTCTACTATAATAACGACTAGCCCCCACCTTTTTCTAATGAAGGAATGCATTGGAAGGGAGGAAGCAATTTTGGTCATAGTGCAAGACCAATTGGAGGGTCGGAAGTTATTCAAACCACTATGACATCCGGGTTTAAGATAGTTTAAAGAGGGTGTATATTCATAAGAAAAATAGAGGGAGATGGTGACTAGCTAGTAGAGTTCAACAGGGGTAATAAAGAAGAAAAGACAAAGGGAAGTCATTCTAAATTTTACAAAACTTTTGTTGGAAGAAGAAGGAAGCTAGAAGGGAATTAAACGAGAATCCTTGGGATTTGTTTTTGAGGAGGCTTAGAGTGTGTTTAGGGGACTCCGGATCTTCTGTTCACGAGAATTCTGCCCATGCCTACTCATAATACATTATTTTTCGTGAAT